TCTCTCTCGCTCGAGACGTATTAAATCCGAATAGCATTTTGCTGAATTCAATTTTAATTTCTCGTATATAATATGTCGCTCATTGGGGTGGTCTCCTGCTGAAGGTGTTCGCACACAACAATGGTTCATATTTTACGTACGCCTCAGATATAAAACATATAACAATGGCAACCACCCAAAAACACGCGGCAGCTCGTCCACCCCCTCACAAACTGGCCGTTTTCGTCGAACGCCTCGAAAACAAAGGACAAAAGGAAAAAACTTCAGTTTCAGATAAGAAAAGAAAGCAGAAAAGTAATTAATTTCCAACTGGACGTGGACAATTATCGTGCCCGTACATATAATTTCACCGTTATCTAAAATTACAAAAATAATTCTCGTTGCCTCCAGAAAAGGTAAAAAATAATATATTCCTTTTTGAACTCTCCAAAAATTCTGAAATTTGACGTGTCACTCGTTAAGATGGCAGGCGAGACTTTTCCTCAACCCGGCGAGATGATGCTGCGGTCGATCACAATGATGACGTTTGACGCTGCGTGGACCCAGCGATTCTCCAGACCTTGCCACGCACTCACCCGATTCCTGCTGCTTTTTTATATTCGTCGTGGCAGCGACTTTCCGCTCAAAAACTTCATTTGTTCGTTTTTCACGTCCGCCTGCTTTTATCAATTTTCACATAAAAGCTCAAATAAGCATGAAGAATTTCTTCAAAGTCAAAGGATTTTCTTCAAAGTCAAAGATTATCGCCAGTTGCTTTTAACCTCTTTTCAAAATTTCTTCGGAAAGGAAAAAGTAAATTTTATGAAATATTTGCGATAGCTATAAGGAAAATTTTTTGAAAAAAAAATCTCCCACGCTGTTCTTTCTTGGGCTAGCAAAAAACGAGGCCAACTGACTTTGCTGGTGAATGTCCTGACATTTCCCCTATAATTTGGCTCGAATTTTCATAATTGCCACACTGCATGGCATTTTGCAATCAGTTTCCTCTGACTTCCGATAAACCTGTGACACGTCCAACCCAATTAAAATTCAAAAAATAATATTTCTGAGTAATGAGTACGCAATAATTAACCATTGCATTTTTTTGCAATGACTACACATGTAGGGGTCATAAAAAAATTTGTTCCGAAACTCTGCGTGTAAATTACACTTCCTCTGATAATGAGAACCACGCAGGTCTCTCTCTCATTCACGAAAACTTGCAGCCGAGTAACTTATCGCAGGACGGCACGTATAAGAAATTAAAAATAAATTCCTTTCGCAAGCTCCAAGAGTCCGATTTCAATTCAGCTAATAAGGATGAGGGATCGAATGATGTGCCGCTACTCTAATTTCCGAGAGCACAAGAATTTGCCGTGTATTTGGTCCATGGTGCATGTAGGCAATACACACAGCCTCTCGATAGCATCTCGCACTACTACTTGATCTCCATATCGTCTCTTGTGTGTAATACTGTACGCGCAGCCTCGATTAAAGGGAAGCTCACTTGGCCGTGGCAGCTACTGGGCATCGCCATCAAGGCCCCCGATTGTAAAGTGTGCTCCGAGGCGCGCCCCCGCGGCACTTAATATTCACTTGCACCTACTGTTTGAATGAGATTAGGTGCTTCAGCTGGCTCTTGGCTAGAAAGGAACGTTTTTATAAGCAACGCCAAGGAGATTTGTAAAAGATTGCAACTAACAACTTCAAATGTGAAATCAAAGTTTTTTAACCCAAATAAGAGTATTGCATAAATTTTTTGTCATGAATTTTTTTATTATATTTTTTATATTCTTGTGTTACTAGAAAATTTGAATATTTAATTTATCAAAAAATTATTATAAAATGATCTCATTACGTATACGCAGGTTCCAATTTCAATTCTTTTGAATTTACTCTCAAGACTTGACTTTGATTCATTTATAAAATTTATATATCATTACAACTTTTTAATTATAACTCTTTTTACATTCATTTAAATCAGAAAATCAATTAAATATCATATTGTGTGTAAAAAAAACTATATTTATATTATATAAATGAACAAAAATATATAAATTGTTTTTTATTTACTATTAATTTATATATAGTGTTAATTATTTATATAAATTGTTTTTAGTTTTACAATTTTTTTTTGCTACAAATATTTTTTTATAGATATTAAAGACTAAAATTATGCCTAGGAGCTTTGCTTGCATAGGATAAGATGCACGGCATTGCTGAGGAGAACAATAATCGCGTCCGAGCCGCACTCACACGTAAAATACACGGCATTATAAATTTCAGTTGCGCTATCTAGGTCGCTGATACAATTATTTTGAAAAGCGTGCAATATGCAGCATAGTTAAGTCAGATTATTTGCTGGTTTAAAAATTGTGTATTATCTGCTATGTGTGTATACCCGCCGAGTCGCTGTTTGTTCGGCCATCATCATTTTATTGTTTTATTATTTATTTGCTTGCGACGGCCAGCCGCAGCAACGTGATGAGCGCCTGATTTGCAAAAATGCAGAATGTGCATCGTCGCGGCCCGAATAAATAAAATTACAAAATACTGCATTTCGGAATATTCATTATAAATGCAGAGCAGCATGACTGTGTATTTGGGTTTGAGAGAAGAATGTGTAAAAATGGAGCGACACCGTTGTTTTCAGCAAATTAACTGTGCTAACCAAAGCTATATACACAAAGCAGCGCGGCGACGTCAACAGATAAAAGTATAATATAAACTTTGTTGGTTAGCAGTTTGGATGCAATATTATATTATAAATTTTTTAAGTGGCTATGATATTATTTGCGCATACGTGAAAATTGATTAATCAAATCCAACTGCTGAAGAGCAGAGACCCACAAAGAAAAAGAAGAACTGCTGAAATTGAGGACGCATTTTCTATCGGCAAAACGTCAAAGTTATTTAATCGCTTTTGCTAACTGTTCAACTGTTTTCCTTTAAAAATGATTGGTTTAGAAGATTTTTCATCTTCTTACTAAAGTAGCAACAGATATTCTGTTTATACATAGGATGAGAAAAATAAAATCGATTTTCAACCAATTTGTCAGAAAATTGAATTTATATGTTCATTTTGTTTATATAAAAATGATATAAAAAAATTAATATCTTGGTTGTTTTGGAACAGTTATAATCATTTATAATAAAAATGCAATGTAAAAATATATCCATCAAAAAATTTGAGCTACTCATTAATATTTGAATTATATTACGCAACCATAGCTGTTTGTAGAGTGTGTTTATGTATATATTTATAGTATTTTACAATAACTTAAAGCTTATTTTTATCCCCTCCTTCAAGATAATTATAATCTAGAAACATAAAATTATTTTTTGCACGCATGCTTCAAAATAATAAATTAACTAATTGTAATAAATTATGCAAAAAAAATATTTAAAAACCAATATAAATTTTTTTTATGTATTATCTTAAATTTTGTTATGGCCTAAATATTTAAAAAAAAAAGCTATTTTTAATGCTGGATAGAACCTTGCAATCAATTCGCAAGGCCCCGCTTTTCGGAAACTTATTACCTTTTCTTCCACATTTTTTATTTCTTCCTCTTTCGTTTTTAACTTTGATGAAGAATAAACAACAATAGTGTATACTATTACAGCCCTCTTGAGCCATTAATTCTTTAAAATTTTGGTTTTTGAAATTAGCTATAGAATTTCATGAAAAAAATCTTACATTATTTTATCTCATTGTTTGAACAAAAATCAATTTTAACTGGTTTTAGAATAGAAAATTTCACACAACGTAACCTACTTTCAGAAAAAATCCTGTTTGATAATATCCTACTAAACGAGCCTTAAAATACTGACTTTTGATGCAAAGAAATAATCACCCATTTAGATTTGTCTTGTAAAATTACATATTTTAATTGATAAAATCTCCTCAATAGCCGCCGATAAAAATCCACAAATCTTTCCAAAGGTTAATTATAATTATTATTCAAATATTTTAATTCCAATTAAAATTTCCCATATGTAGAACGCATTATTTTTTAATTAATTTCATGAATCAATTTCAATCATATTGAGTAAGTTGGTTGCAATTATTTGTCATAAGTAATATGTTTGAAGTTTTGGAAGATCAAGAAATTATTTTATATCAAATTAAATTTATAGTTTCTTACTCTGGAACAGTTTTTGTCTATGAAAAGTTCTCACACTAAAATTTTATTGTAATTTCTTCACCCAAAATTCAGAATTGTACAATAATTTTTATTACCATGTTCTTTTTTTATCTTGATTCACGTTTAAATTTGTTAAATTAATTTCAATGTTGTATTGAGGGGATGAATCAAAATTTTATTTCAATAAGAAAAAAATCACTCTTGGTCTGGAACTTTGCGACCGGGAAATCGGGAAATCCAAGTGGCAGGCGTTGCAAATCGAAGGGCTGTTGCGCGCATGCTGGAGGGCGTTCTCCGAAGCGCGCGTTCTCCATTGCGGCACCAGCAGCGAAAGGAGGCCAATAACGTGGTGAGCGGGGCGCCAAGAATAAAACCTATCGAACTCGTTCGATCCGATTTTTTCGCAAAGATTGGCGCTGGCGCATCCCCCCGTTCGTTCGACAGCAGGGTGGTGAAAAAAGAGAGTCTGGTGCATGGGCATTACGGCATGGGCGAGCCTGCGCGCTTTCCGCGAGACATAACATCACACACAGTGCTATCTGGATAAACCCCTTCCTTCACTCTTTCTTACCCCTCATTTCTGGTGCGCGCGGCCGGCGATAAACTCGCTATCCCCGGCGTGTATTGTATCAAAAGAGAGAGGCAGCAGCAGCATCCCCCGAATAATATCTTCACCCCCACCCCTGCCGGCCCACCCCTAGCCCCGTGCTACCCCCGAAGCGGCAATCGGGCCCTAGTACGCGACTCATCCGCGTGGTGTCAGTCCGCTGCAGGAGGCATCTACCTTGCTCACCATAAGATCGCGGAGTGGGGAGCCGAGACTGCCTTGCTCGCCTTTACTTACGAAAATTCCCCCTCGCGCTCGCTCACACACACACTACCCATGCTGTTCCTTGCTGCGTTAGTCGGAGATTCAGCCTTGAGTGATAAGGTCGGCGTAGCGGCGCCCCAGCCACCAGCAAGTAACGCACGTCCGACGGCCCTCGCAAACGCACCCCACCGTCGGCCGGCGCCCATGCCACCTGTGCTCTAGTGAATTTTTGAGAGAATTTCGAAATTTTAATTCAAGTGACCTGTCAGTGCATTTACAAATCGTCCGGACTTGTGTGATGGCCTAGAGTTGGTTCTCCTTCGGCGTTGGACGAGCAGCAGGTTGGACGCGCGGATGAGCGCCACTTTTCCGCCCCCGAGTCTCGAGCACCCGGCCACCAAGATTGAGAACGTGATCAACGAGTTGACAACATCTCGGAGTGTTGTGAACCACAACCAAAGCATGGACATTCAAGCTATGCAATCAATGGACTGGCTCTTCAAGAAAGAACGCATTTATCTCCTCGCGCAGTTTTGGCAGCAGGTAAGGCCGATTTCCACTTTCATCCCCCTGACGAATCAAACTGGATTTTAATCCGTCCGGCTTTTCCCTCCGATCTGACCGGTTCGATTGATTTTTGACTCCGATTCGGAGTGACACTTGGATTTTAATTATGGACAGGCTGCAATTATTTCTCTCGGGAGAAGATGCATTTATAAAACACGTTTTGGAATTAGTCAGTCGTGGCGATGCACATTCAAAAATATACCGAGCGGTTTTTCTCATTTTAATCGCCGCACCATGGACCGGTCTTGAAGGGGTGCGTGTCCGAGAGTGCAGCTAGCGCGTTTTGAAATTTCATTTCCTGCATCTCGCGGCGCGAATTGCAACGCAAACAATCCCCAGACCGGTATCGGAAAAGCCCGATTCACAAATTCGGCCGGAAAGTGTGATCGCGAGCGGGCGCCGCGGCACTCGCGACAAAAAGTGCGATGAATGAGCGTTTGCCGGCGAACACCGGCGCGACCGCCGGCATCCGAGAAATGCCGCGACGGGCTCCCGATGCGCCAGCATCAGCTGAAATAAAAATTTGAACACTGCCGTGCATTTAAAACTAGTGGCATCCGACTAATTAACAAATTTGCTCGCCGACCTGATGGGCCACTGGTCAAGAATTTTATTATTTTTTTCAACTTTTACGGACTTTGTTTGCGAAGCAGTTGAAATTTTCTAAGTCCAGTGTTGAGAGTAAAAAGCATCAAACAATTGAAATTTCCTTTTGTTTCTTACTGGGAACAGCTAGACTTTGTTATTAACTTCCGCGGTCACCAAGAATTTGTCGTAATGTTTATTTTTCACTTTTAAATATAAAAACATGCAATTTTTAATTTTGACAGCTAAATTATAAAAATACTTTTTTTTTTTTTATTTTTTTTTTTCAAACTGAATCTGAATTAAATTAGTTTTTTTTCAAAATGTTTTGGTTATATAATAATTTTACAATTTTACCAGATGGAACTTGAAACTTTTGTCATACTTATGCAACCGGTCGGGGGTGCGTACCGAACGGGTTGCATACGCCCGCACACCTAACCCCACAATTTCGGTCAATTTTGTCACTACGCAGGAGGAAATTTGAGATATCGCTGGATAATTATGGCCGGTGCGCACTCGCTGTTTTTATCGTCTCTTGGAGAGATAAAGTTTTTTGAAACGCTCGGCGGCCATCAATGCGCGCAATAACCAGGTAAAAAATTCCTGCAAGTAAAATAATAATACTCTTATTCTTTCGAAAGCAAACTCTTGTCAAAAATACTGATTATATTGCGTGGCCTCTCATAATAATTTACAACCTGCATTTTTCCTTGAAAATTAGGCGCTGGTGTTGAGGCGATAAGAAGCCTGTGGGAAATTTCTACGTAGGCTACTTTTTCTTAATGAATTGGTGGAAAAGTGTCGCTCGCACCGGAAAACGTGCTGAGATAACGCACACATGTAGGTGATCGACAGGTTTGAAACAAATGTCTACGTGACTCTTTTCGCGCTGGCATATAAGTTTGGTAAAAAAATTCCGGACGACATTATTTTTATTTTGCGGCTTTTGAAACTTTTTGTACATTGCTGAAATTATGCGTGTTTCTTCGCCTCGTTATCTGAAAGGTCGATTAACGAGTTGACAAATAGTAAACCAAGGGATACGGCCGCGGTTTTTACTTCGGAAATATCCCAATGCTAAAGAGCGAGAAAAATATTGTACACATCCTCTGGGGCCGACCAAATAAAAATAATATTCAACAGGATGAAATCGGTTTTGAGGCACCACCGATAACGGGAGGCGCGCACTGAAAGGAAATTGATACACCAAAGCGGCTCTTTCTCTGCTCGGCCGGGAACAACTTTGAAAAATAAATTACGCTGCTTGAAACAAAGTCAAAGCGGGGCATCACATCGGGAATAAATAAATATATATCTGCGAGAGAGTCTCTTTCTCTCTCCTTTTCTGCATATGTCGCAGCGCGCGGCCATCATAGTTCGGTATTGATGAAAGAGCTTTTACTATTGATGTCTTTTATAACCCTTTTTACTGATGGTGCACCCCTTAAAATTCATTCCCCACGGCTTTGCAAAGCATCAGGGAGGAGGCGGCTGTGTGGCGGAGGAGGAGGTGGAGGCGAGTTTCGAGTGATTGAATCAGTCGTCAAAGCTATACCCGGCCTAGCTGCTGTGTGTGTGTATGTATATGATGGTCGTCGCTCTCTCACACACACAAGATACAGATAGATCTCTCCGGCATGGGGGTATTGAAAGGGGTAATATAGGGGGTGGTGATAGGGAAGTATTGCTTTTCTACAAAAGCATGCGGCAAGCTGGCAGGCAGGGTTGGTCGTGCGATGGTGGCGGTAGGAGGGGTTTTAGATTTAATGTTAGAAATAAGGGGGTATTAAAGATATAGAGAGCGAGCAGTCGCTAATCAATAGATGCAGTGCTGGAAACAAACGACGGGACGACGCCGCCGCCGCCGCCACGCAAATCCATAAATGCCTGCGAAACACGTCTCCGACTAATACTGCCGTACACAAAGACCAGCTCGACCGGACGCATCCCCCTCTATGCATATAATTTCCATCTCGCCTCGTTATCTCTCCCGTCAATAATTCACGTGCACCGATCTGAATGGGAGCGATTTGGATTTATAAAAAGAAAAAACTAGCTCGCGCCGCCGGAAAACTGGTTTTGAAACAATTAATATCGGACACGGCAAGCTGCTAAACATTGATACTTTTGTGGTCTGCAATTGTAATTTTATTTTTTTCCATTCGATTTTCTGTATAGAAAATTAGCAACGCATTGGACAGGAAGAAATCTGGAATTAAATAATAACACAGTCAGTTCCGAATCGCCAGTCGCTCCCCTCCTGCTTGAAATGTTATTCTGTTATATTCAATAATAAATAAAGGCCTCCGAGGGGTCAGCAGCGCCGACTTTTTTGCCCTGTTGTATACATTTTGCACGCGTGCTCTGGCAGCAACTTTTTGCCCTCTGCAGAATGTATAATATGTTTGGATGCGTGAATCGGTTCGGTTGGTTGGTTTAAGTTTGGGCGCCGGCGTCTTTTGCACGCGCAGGGCCCTTTATATGTTGAACAACACAAAAGGGCCCGTTTTTGTTACACACGTACACACTGGCGCTCATAATGACTTGACATTAACGATTGGATATCGATCAGATAATCTAATATTATAATATACTCGCGCCACCCACCTCTAAATGTCTTTGTCGCGTACATAAAGCAAAAGGGCTAAATTTATATACAGCAGCAGTGCAGGGCGCACATAAAGACGCTCCTGCGATGCGTTTGATATCCTTTGTGTGCCGCAGAAATAATCCAATCAAACTAAAAACGAACGGGAGTCTTTACAAGATTAATGACATGCAGTTTATCGACGCGAATTTTTATATAAATTCTTCTTATTCATACAAAATCCGTTCACAAAAGCAGGGGGAAATTCACAGCAACCCTTTTGTGAGAAACCCAAGGACTTCAATGAAATGAGTAATCGCCTTGTATCAAATATATAAGCAAAATCGATAATTAATGACGCATTTTACTCCCAAGCAGATGTGATGACGAACGGAAATGAAAATTTGGCACAACAAAATAATAAATATAAATTTATTTAAAGGCGACGATTAAATCTGACGAGGAAATTGGCCGAACGAAATAAAATGAATAGGACTGAATCACGGAGTTTAAATTTAACCTCCAATACATTTCTTTCTATCATCAGTCGTGGTGGATATTTCGGTTTGTGTGTGTGCGAGAGTGTGTGTGCGTGGTTGGTTCGAAATAGAGTATATATTGAAGTGGATTAATAGGTGGCCAACGAAAGCTGCGTGTTCAATATATTTACCCGCGGCTGGTCGGTCGGCGCGCGCCCCGCACTGAAGCACAATATAATCTTGGCGCAATAGCCCCAAACACACACAACGAAAAATAATAATTTATCTGGCGGCGCCGACAGAAAAACGAGATCGTTTTTTTTCCCCACAAAAAGGTCACTCCACTTGGTCGATTTTATTTATTTTATATTTTTCTTTCTTTTGAGACTGAATCGTGGTTTAAATTCACTGTGATTGACCAATGCAGGTTGCACTATTCGCTGCCAAAGAGAGTACACACGTCCGATTTATATCTTCTCTCGTCAGCACTGCTCGAGGTTGGTCAACAATCGGAGGAAAAGAAATAAGCAGCGCGCAATTTACAACATTGTTTAATGCTCACTAATTCACCGATTCATTAATTGCTTTGTTTGTTCTTGCGCCGCCAAAGTTGAGCAAAAAATCTTCTCCAATTGCGTCTTTTTGAATTTGGATTTATCTCAAAGAGATGGCGCGATACATACGCCTGTTTACATGATAAATTCACCCCGAAAGGTTTTTTCTCTCTGCCGATGAAAATCATATACTGGGGGTGAAAAGGCAGCAGCGGGATCAAATAAATGTTGTTATATAGGGGGATGCTCATCCAAACACACACCGCTCAGAGGGGGTAGTTTGGTATTTTTTTTTCTCTCTTCATTGAGGGTCGCCGGAACAAAAAGGCAACAATGCAAGTGCGCTATTGTAGAGCCGTGTGTGCGGTCGAAAAAAGCTTTTCACACCCGCAGGTACTCAAAATGTAGGACAAAAATCGGTCATCGATTCGCACAAATTGCAGAAAATTAGTATCGAATAACGAGACAAGGTCACCTCTAAGCATTATTATAAACACACAAAATGTGAATAAAAAATGAATCAAAAGAAAATAAACTATAAAAATGTATTTATTTAATTTAAATATAATTTTTTTATCAAAAATAATAATCATAAAATATGAAGAAATTTATACATTTTTTATGAAACAATAAATTATTGAGAAAAAAAACCAAACCAAGAAAAAGCCAAAGCTGATCCCAGTAAAAATAGAAGATTTTAAGTCAAACGTGTGCTGACAATTGGGCCAGGTGCAGGCGAACTGTCAGCGTTGCAGCCCAGCTTTTGGC